ATGTGCTCATCAGATATTAGTGCAATTGTCTGTAAAGGTCATTGGTTTACTTTTCACCCCTGTTCACGAAGCGCAAACAAAATACATAGACTGGATAATTTTAAAGCAATGTTGATCAACTGACATATGATTGATCAACTGATCGAAGTCTATAAGTTTGACAACCACCAATATGAATTTCATGTCAACAACTCCTTTAGAAATATAATTACTAGAAAAAATTACTTATTTTGTAGCAAGGATGTTAGTTCAAGCTGCTTTTATTTATCAACATGGTGTTAGCACAATTTAAATGTTTTAGCACATGGGAAACAAGTTGTTGACTTGAATTAGTGTGTTTAGAATGAATAAGCATGTCATTTTCAGACTAACATAAAAATAGTCACACTTCTTTTTCTCAATAATATTCAAGCTATTCCACTATGATTAAGCCAAAAATAAGACAACATTGGGCTTGTGTTATAGAATAAATTGCTTGTGCATGTTGTGGGCGTATTTAAGGTGATTTACTTGAAGTGTTTCACAGTATGAGCAAAACAAACAATACAAAGCCAACAGAGACCAGCACAAAATATGAATCCCACATTCCTTCAGTCGACCATGAAGCGCAGAGTCGTAAACATGCCTGATTCCATTCAAGCCACCAAACAACTGGTACAGGCAATAAAACTCAACAAACATAAGAATGAAAAGCCACTGTATGAATCTGCGTTATGAAAAGTAATGAGTCAGAATGGGGCATGGAATACCAGAGTCTGATTTTCTGCCTCAATGGCTGCCAGCTCAAGCTGACACTGGTCTCATTAGTGTTAGGCTGCTATGACAACTCCAAGATCCTGCCGTGATCCTGATCTGGTGCCTTGGTTAACGACATCACCGGACGTGACAGCTAACTAATCAATCATTTATGGCATTACGCATGGCAAAAGAAAAGCATTGCTGGTTTTACAAGTAGAGCTGGGCAATATTGAAAAAAGCATAATCAATTTTTTAGTTCCATATTATTTTAACTTGTCCTTGTTACATTGAATCTACTGTTCATGTTTAAGAACTGAGTAAGATTACATGTATGGGCGGCAAAGTGGCTCAGTGGTGAGCACTGTCACCTCACAGCAAGAAGGTCGCTGGTTTGAGTCCCAGCTGGGTAGAGTTGGCATTTCTGTGGGAGTATGCATGTTCTCTCAGTGTTTGGATGGGTTTCCTTCGGCTGCTCTGGTTTCCCCCACAGTCCAAAGACATGCCCTATAGGTGAATTGGATGAAATACCTTGACTATAGTGTATTAGTGCATGTGTACTATAAATGCGAGACTGTATGACTGTGAAGGCATCCGCTGTGTGAAACATATGCCAGAATAGTTGTTGGTTCATTCTGCTGTGGCCACCCCTGATGAATAAAGGACTAAGCCGATGGAAAATTAATGATAGGGCTGCAACAATACAGATTTCTCATGGTTTGGTTTGGTTTTTGGTCTTAGGTATGGTTCGGTATTTGACAAGTAACCTTATTAGTTATCATCAATGGACTCTCTATTTGGTTGTATATGATTAAATTGCTATGCCATTTTAGAAACCTGTCTGAAATCAATTTAGTGAGGTGCCTCCCTGCGCCTGCAACAAATCAGCAGTCTTAGTTTGTGTTCAGCCAGTGAGTGTACTTTCTGCCCATCTACCGATCCCAGCATAGATGCTACAGTAGCAGCCCATTAGCCGTTAAGTTCAGTTGTACAGTTTAGTCAGTTTATTTTAGCTCTAGTTTGCCCTCGTACAGCTGGTTATTACAATAAGTTTACACAGCCTATATAAACATCATTTACAAATAGCTTTTTTCATAATAAGAGGCTCTTACACTGCAGACATGCTGTTTTCCCTTTAGCATAAACCCACTGTCAAATCAAAATTCTCATGGTCTGCATCTGGAATGGTTCAACAGGCATAAATGATTTCTAATTAATCAGCTGTAATATATCAGTCTTATTTTTTCAAGCAGATAATGTTAACATAAAAAATAAATTTTAAAATGTAAATTAGCGCGATAGCCCAGTGGTTAATGAGCCAACAAATAATGCAACAATGCTCTGGGCATCCCAAGTTCAAATTCCAGCACGTGGACATTTCCCGATCATTACCCTTCTTTCTTTTCACTTCCTGTCCTGTTAAATGAAGGCAAAACAAAAATCTTAAAAAAAAAAAAGTATTAATCAGCTGATACCAATATTGTTGCAGGCAATTGAAGAATTCTCCAGAAATTTCCTATCCCTCTTTGTAGTATGTGAACTAGGTACAGTATGTGTTTTTTATTTATTTATTTTTTTTGGTGTATTCTGAGTTTTCCTGCAACATGTGAGCTGAGTCTGAGTGACCGTCTGAAGGCCAGACAGCAGAGAGACAGAAAGCTGAGTCACTGCTCAGCAGCGACTGCTCTTCTGTACTGACAGAACAAAACATACTGCAGCGTCGATGTCAATCAACAAGACTGACACACCGGCAAACACAACATCACTTAACACAGTCTGCACTCAACAGTACTCTCTAAACACAAACAACAGCAGCAAATTAACATTCCATCAGATTAACCTTTAAGATTTGAACACATCTAATTCCTAAACATTACATGC